ATTCAGATTCAGCTGGACTGGATCTCTGGATTTTGTAGCCTCAAAACCTTTCTTATGGTCAGTAAAAGATGTTTGCTTGACCCTCCTTTGCTCTTGCCATGGGTCAGACCTAAAGAATGTGAACATTTTTTTTTCCTGGGGATGCTAAGCAAACCCTGTTTGCCAACAAATAGATTAAATTTCCTTCAGACTAAGATACCTTGTAATCAAGCTGATTAGTTTTGCCATTTAATCAGCCAGTATATATTGATGATACAGTTTTGGAAATCCAGTTTGCTAATCCTTGCCAGAGACTGTGTGTGCCTGTAAAGGGTGCACGTCTCCTTTTTATGCTCAGCAATGCAATGAATGGATCTTTTTGAATATGGTTGGTTATAGAAGCATGTTCCAGAAGACACGTTTTGGATGTAGAAAATAAAATTCTCAGCCTGAGAATGATTGAAAAAAATCTCCACTAAAGAGTGGCATTTATCAGCAGAAAGTGTGTCAATGCAGATGTACATCTTGATCAATATTGCCTTTTTTGTGTGGGGGGGGGTTGTGTAAGATGTCAGTTTGTTTTGCCTGGATACGGTGTCTCAGTAGATTCATTGAGCAAACACTTTCGTGTGTTGTGGTTATCTGTTTTTGTTGTGCAACTGTATGAATGGAACACACATGGTACTCCTGTGGTGTGGCATTCATGGATAAATTCAGTAATCTACCTCACTGAGGAAGTGTGGTAGGCATAGAGTTTTCTCCACTCCTCTGCATTTCCTGTCCTCTAGAACACCTCTACCTGCCTTAGCTGAGAAAAGCTATCATTTCAGCAAAATAGATTAACCTGTTCGTTGTTAGAAATTAATTCCATCAGAAATCCTTCCATCTTCGTAAGATACTTGAGAAAGAGGCTTGCTTAACTGAAGCACTTCTGGAGAGCACAGAATCTGTCCCAGACTGTCATAAATGAAAAAGGTACATTTTTATCCCGTTACCCTCCACCATTTTTGTTAGCCTTATATGAAAACTTCAGCAGAAGAGATCTCACAAAGTATTTTTGTAACAGACTCTACATTCTCAGTATCGATAATTCTTTTAAAAAAAAAAAAAAAAAGGAAAGATTTGGATTGTTTAAGCCTATGAATATTCCATATCTTCAGAGATGCCATTTTATATTCAGCAGAACATTTGAGGAAATAAGACTCCCTCCATCCACCAGCATTCTCTCTTTTGCAGCCTATTGTTAAGGTCATGGGAATTATGTCTCTCATATATGAAAAAGGAAAGGTTAAAAAATGGAAGCCAACAGCAACAATAGGAATGAGCAGGAGAGGAAGGGATCGCAGAATGTGCCAGGATATACTTTATAAACTAAGATCAGATACATTTCGAGTAAATAATTGCTCAGGGGCAACTTGACTTACTCAAAAATGCTTGTTGTATTGTTCCATAAATTGTATTTAGCTTCAGTTGTTCTGGTATAAACTTTTCTAGCACTTTCATAGTCCTGTTCCCTCTCTTACTTTTTCAAGTTGTATTACCTAACTTTCATTAAACCAGTGTAATATAGAACACTTTGACTGGACCATGCCCATTGTTTCTGGTACAAAGGTTGTCACACCTTAGTTAAGTCTTGTTCAGTACCTAAAAAAAAACATACTGTTCAAATTCCAAATTAGCTTGCCTATCCTCCTCCTCTCCACCCCATCTCTCCAATATTTCTGAAATGAAATTTCCACAAGAAATGGATTAATCCAGAAGAATTCCATTTCAGTGGTGTGAACCTGACATAGAGTGGAATGAGCAACTGAGATCTTGACAGAAAATTCAATTGATCGTGGGTTGATACTTCAAAACAAGAGTGAACAAGGCTTCTTTCTGGCAATCTTACAATGACTCTAGTTTTCACAATGCTTTCTATCACAAAGCCCAAAGTTTGAAAATTGTGCAAGGCATCTATATATGTGCTTCTAATTGTGCCTGCCCTAAAACAAAGGAACCATTGTCCAATTCAGTGGAAGAAGGCAAAGAATTCACTGTGGAGTTTTTATTTTATTTTTTTGAGACCTAAATGGCATGATTAACCAGTACAGACTTGATGTCACCAATGTCCGTAATGCATCTACTAGGATTCTTGAAGTATCAGAGAAATATCAGATGAAAAAAAGCATATCTTCGTGTGTTCAAAACAGCATAACATGGCTATTCTGAATTCAAAATTCATGGAAAGTTGCATACAGCAATATATAGGAGGCTTTTTCATGGTTTTAAAATAATTTGGAAGAAGGAAGGAAAAACATGAATACTAGTGACATTGAAACAAACTCACTTTAGATGATACGTAGCTTGTTCCTAATTCAGTGTCAAACCTCAAGGCAGCAATGTTCTACACGTTTATTTGGGATAGGTTCTTTGAAGTTCATTGGATGACGCACGTGTTGCTTTTCTGATATCGGCGTATACGAGGAGCAATTGTACCGCAAGCTATTATTGTGTTGTAAATTAAGACTACCATATCCACGCTGTAAAAATCTGGATGATCCCTAGTCGAAAGCGAAAGGTATAGGAAATGCTAGCTCTGTACGCTTGCTCAGTGGTTATCTAGAAATGGTAGCCCTAAATGGAACAAAATCTCTTACATTTTCTGCTGTGTTGCCAAACAAAATAGATGGTTAGACTGATACACTTAACATTATCTGGTACTAGTGTGAGGGGGGGAAAACCCTGAAGAAAGTTAATGAGTTCTAGGTATCAGGAACTAGGGTCTGGGAAATCAAAGGGGAGATGATCAGAACTATAAATGGATTCTTTGAATCCATCTAAAAATAAGATTTTTAAATAAAGTTTAGACTGTGGTGACTGCTGTACATTGACAGCATATATTGAGAGCTGAAATGAATATAATGTACCAAGTTGCGTCCTAGTGCCTTTGCATAAAATAGATGCCATCATTTTACAAGCTCCTTGGGTAGGTTCATCACCGACATCTTTAAAGAAACATTCGTGTGCAGTGCTGTAACACTTTATTTTTCATA